ATTGTAAGAAAAACTATTCATAATTAAATAAATAATAAAACATTTAGTAAATATTTTATTATATTTAAAAGTATGACTCTCCCTTAAATAAAACCCAAGAAAATCCTTTAGAATGTGTTCTTTTCAAATTCAAACTCCCTTTAAAGTGCATTTGCCCTAGAAGAGTTTATTACTCTAACAATTATATACCTACATTTATTTAAAAACGTGTATACATTTTCACATTTAAAACCTACCTCTTTTTTTTTTATTATCGCAAGCAAAAAACGAAAGAACATAGAGAGGCACGTAGGCATCGTGCCCACAATCTACAAAAATATACAACAGAAACAATTATAGCAAACAAATAGAAGAAGAAACTACTTAAACAAATGAAATCTGAAGCTAAAACCATAAAAATATAATGTTCTTTAAACCAGGAAATAAACACAATCCAAGATCACCTTTTCCATGAGTCTTTTTGGTATAGTATTTATTCTGAACATCTGCAATTTTCTGATTCACTTTTGACATTCGGAAAACTGCATGAAAAAGTATCTTTTACTGTCAGCTGTTCAAGACCGTTTGGCCTTTTGGCATTTCAGCTGAGAAAATCCAAGCGATACAATCATTAATTAATGACAGGTTTTCCTTCGATTTCCATAGGCCAATGGATGCGAAATTCGTCTTCCGCATTTGCAAAACAAAAACAAAAAAAAAAGCAACTACAACAATATTCCATGTCTGGGGGAGCAGCATATGTTATCTGTATCTGTTAGATTTCGTATGTAGGTCAAACGCACGAAAAAAAATGGCAAGCAAAATGTGCAAAAAAAAAATTCGCACGCACTCACAAAAAGAAAAAAAACAACAAAATCAACATGGAAGCCTTTACTCGCCGGCTGCGTAGATTGCGTATACGCAATGTGTGTCAAGGACAGATATGTGCGAATTTTTATAGTTCCTCTGCCCGCTGTCGCTGCCCCTCTATTTCTCGGCTACACTCTCGCAAAATGTTGAGAAATATTTTGTTCAGCTAAAATTAAACCCAAGAACAACAACAGGAACAATGGCAACGCACCTACTGAACTAATTTGCTCAGTGCTTCAGTGTGTGTAGATTGCGTGTGAGTGTGGTGCGTATCTGTGTGGGTAGCATTGAATTTCAGCTGTGCGACAACGCACACCAGCCACCAGCCGCCAACAGCAGGGCCCGCTAGAAACACTTTTTTTTGTTGTGCCATTTCGTCTCTGGGTTTTTGCAATTATTCGCAATTCACGCCCACGGTCAAGCCAAAGGTCAGCCCACAGACGGAGGGGGAGACCCACAGACCCCAAAAATGAGCAATGAATATATGTACAGACATGCATATATCTTTATGTAGCTATAATTTCCTCTATATATACATATATACATTTTTTTTTTTAATTTCGCCACGAAATTAAGTTGGAGAAGAAACTACAAAACTACTTGGAAAACGATCTCAACGCATTCAAGAATAATAAATGCTCTATGTCAAGTTTAGTTAAAAAAAAAAAAAAACCAAGACATGTTTCACGCGTCTTGCAGCTATGCCCCTCGGTCTGTTGAATCTGTTGTAACGCTCCGCCAATGTTGCATACCCCATGGCAAAGTCAGTCTGCCCTTTAGCCGCATGGTTAGGGTATCATTTCGCACACACAGATACAATCTTTACTGTATGCTTGTGTGTGTGTGTCTAACTGTAGTGTGTCCCATCGCAAGCAGCTGTGCTTCTGGGTTCCTCTCTGCCCTACTCGTCGCTCGTCTCTCACTCTCTCTGCCTCTCTTCTTCTATGTATGCCAAATTTCCAATTGGGTCGCACGCACAAGGTACGTTTTTGCGAATTTATGTCTGTGCTTGTGTTAGTAGTGTATCTGTGTGTGTTTGAGAGCTTTTTTTTTTCGCTAGCGGAGCGCGTTGATCGCGGAAACGAAACAAAAACTTTTGTTGTTGCTGTTGCTGTTGCGGCTGCTCTGCTGCCGTTGCTGTTGCTGTCTCTCCGTCTCCCTCTATCTATCTGTATCTGTATCTGAGTGCGAAACACAACGAACGCATTGCGTAATCGGCGCTGTACTTTTGCCTTCGCGAACAGCAGCTTGACAACACACAACAAAAGCAAGCGGCACCAAAAAAAAAAAGAAAAACCAGTAGAAGGGCAGAGATGTGTTTGGTGGAGGGCGGGTGTGCGGGAAGGGATTAGGCTAGTTAATGCTACTTAGTTTAGCAGCAGCTTTCGACTAGTTAGCGCCTCACGGAAATGTGTTTGGGCATGCACAGAGACATGCGAGTGGGCAGATACATCCATTGATAGTCCAAACAGATGTGCAGATACAAAGATACTTAATTTAAGAGATGGGCTCCCAACTGTAGATAATTGCTTTATGCGATCTGCATAAATCTTGCGATCAAAGAATGAATTGGGATATATTTTATATTGAATTCAGTGCTTCCCATTAAGCTTTAGGAAAGGTTTCTTTAAATTGTATGTATAGATGTATGTGTAGATAAAGATGTATCTTTATAATCATATTACAATGTACAAAAATAGTTAAAAGTCAATTGGCAATGACAGAAACAGATACAACGCAATGCGAGTGCCCCTGACGTCGACGTCAATTGGTGGCCAATGACGCTGCCCCCCATCCCCGCTCTGAAACTTTTTCCTGTGCGTAAGCGGCTATAAATGTAGAAGAAAATAAAAGGAAAAGATACAGACCCAGATACAGATACAAATACAGATAGATAGCCGCGAAAGGCAGGTAATGCTGCCAATGGATGACTCAAAGCACCAGCAGACGCAGTAGCATCGAATTGAATTAGCAAAAAAAAAAAATGAGAGTCACTGGCAAAGCAGTAGGTGATTAAGGTGGGTGGCAGGGGGGGTGTGGGGGCTAAAAAACTTTTTACAAGATTCTACAGAAAGTTTTACAGAAATTATGCAGAGAGAGACGAACAATCCTGGAAAGTTAAATGAATGGAAAACATTAATGGAAAATTAAGAAATGCAAAAAGATTAGACAAAGATCATAGAAACTTTTCAGAGAACACACGAATAATGAGTTAGCTAATAATTATAGATGTTGAGCGACTGAAAGCAAGAGATAATATAATAAGGCTTAAAGGAATCGACGGCCTGAGAATATATTATTTTTTTAAAGGGCAAGAATCTATAGTTCCATTCAAATAATATCTATTAAACCCATATGCTCAAATAGTAATCAAAAATAAGAAAGTATCAAATAATATAAAAAAATCTTATGGCCAAGTTTTTAAAAACAAAATTTTTTTCATATTTTGATGAAATTGCAATTTATTTAGAATATAATTCCATTAGCCCTTCTATGGGCGATAAATACCAGATTTTCATCCAAAGAATTTATGAAATTTCGTTTGGTGCTTGGCTTCCTTCAATTCCAGACTTTTATGCTAAAATCTATCCAGAAATCTATGGATATTTTTGCAAAAACACAAAGTCTTTTCCCTTAATTACTATGAATCCTTTTTGCAACGTATCTATTACTTTAATTCTGTTACTTCAAATGAATTTTGTGGAAGAAGTCTGCCCAAAGAACAGGTAGAATACGAAAATGTTCGCATAAATTCCACATAAAATACATCCCAAAGAAATCTTTGCAGTAGAATTCCCAAAAAATCAGAAAACCAAAAAAGAAGAAGCAGAACGATCGTCGCATAGGCAGAAAAAACAGAAAGAACAAAAAAAAAAAACGCTACCCAGAGAGGCATTCCACTGACGGTTGACTTTTGCTTTTGTGTACAGTTGTTTCAGGCTGTTGCCTTTTTTTTTTTGTTTTTTTTTTTTTGCTTATTTTTTCTTCTTCTTGTGGTGTTTCTTTCGTGCTCTATGCGGAATTGAATTGTGCTTTTGTGTGTGTTTGTTTCTGTGTTTCTTCTTTTTTCATTTGCGAAATTAGCGAATTTTTGTGTGTGTTTGGGGGGTAAACGCACAAAAGCGCGTTAGGAATCAGCAGTAGAAGCAGTCGAAAACGAGCCAAAAAATAAGAATAAGAACGACAGGGACAGGGACAGGCAGAGAGAGAAAGAGAGAGAGAGAGAGGAAAAAGTAACAGAAGAGCTCTGTCCCCAAAATTTAGGTCAAATGCTCAACTGCCGAAGCTGACGCTGACGTCGACATCGCTGCTCTGCTGCGTGTCGATTGGCAAAAAAAAAGTGTTTTTTTTTTTGCGAATTTCTTTACCCTAGAAAAGAAGGGTATAGGGTGAATCGAATCGGTGAAAAAAACTACAAGAATCCGAAAAAATCCAAAGATTATATATTCGTATATAGTAAGTTGAGTTAAACTCTAAGGTACACGATTTTTGTAGCCTAGATTTTGAGTTCACTCTTTGGTTCTATGGTTCAACCATGTTTAATCTCGAAATCTGCGCTTCGAACAGACTCAGTGGATCTAATAGGGCATCAATGGATGCGACCCCAAAGCGCTGGCATTAGTTTCTAGCGTTTTTTTCGCTTTTATTTTTTGCGTTTGCTGATTTCATTTATCTTTTTTTCGGGTTCTCGCCGTGTGTCGGTTAATGTTTTATTAGCTATCGTTGTAGTTGTAGTTGTACTTGTTGTTGGCGCTTTAACTAACGGCTCATCACAACGATGTGTATGGCCCGCCCGGTTGGAAACCAGGCAGTTCCCCAAAAAGTAGCCCCTCAAAAGCAGAAGCAACAGCAACAGAATCACTCATAAAGAAGGAAATATCGAAAATTATGCTAGGATTAAACAAAACAAAAAAACAAGGGTTTTGCAGTTTTGTACGATATTTTTGGTATTTTTCTCAGAAATTGATTGGGTTTTCTTTTGAAATTAAAATTTATGTTTAAGCCTCTTCTTTAAGGCTTAGCCTCCGTATTTTATATTTCTAGTATGTTTGATAGAACTTTTTATATTTTTGATAATATTCATGGAGATTACATAGTATTAAAAGTCTTCATAGTATTTTTGATGGTATTTCTTAAAACTTTTATTGCAATTTCGATAGTATTTTTGGTAGATTCCCTAGTATTTTTAGTGTTTGTAACAGTATATATCGTATTTTGACCAGTCCAGTCTGACCGAAGACAAGGAAAAGTTACTAAACGAAGTGGAAATGCGTAAGAGGTAGAATGACGAGCTACAAGCTGTGGCCGACCAGAGAAAGACAGAGCTCAATGCCGCCCTGGGGGAGCTGCGGATCGACGAAAATCGACTTTCGGACGAGGAGGACGTTATTAACCATCTAAGAACGAATAATGCAAACCTCGTCACTGAAATCGCGTTGCTCCGCTGGTTGCAGATGAAGTACAAAATGACTGAGAAATGCTTGACTAAAAAGTTGGAGGAAGCGAACGATAGGATGACCATTATACAAGACGAATTAAAGTTCGTTCACGATAGAGTTCGGGCATGGAACAACAATGAGCCAATGAATGAACCACAAATTCGTCCAGTGATTGAACAGCTGCAGGAATTATCCAACTCAATCGACAGTTTCAGCAACAATGAGCCGCAGGAGAATGAACCACAAACTTGTCCATTGGACTATCAATTCGGTGCAGTGTTAAAATATTTTGAAGATTATCATGGGGGAGCATCCACTCGACGTGAGACCAACATTTTGTCCCAATGAGGTCTATGGGTTTGCTCCATGAGATACTGTTGAACGGTACAAATGGCTCGTTCCCAATTGGTTTGCGGACCTGACTTGATCGATTTTTTAGCAATCTTCTTTGATTTGACCTTTTTCTTCTGTTTGCTTGAGAGTTTTTCAGCTGTGGTGCCAATACTGCCACTACCAGCCGACCCGAAACGTGTTTCATATCCGGAGCCGAACCTGGATGTGGATCCTGAGGGAGAGCTTGACCCAGACCAGCTTTTGGGGCTCATCGTTCCACTTTTTCGATTCCTTTTCTTTCCTAGTCTGCGTTTTCTCTGTTTATTCTCCGGGCTGCGACTTTCGTATCCCTTTGATCCTTTTATCGGAAGTTTTGGCACTGGCGTCGGCGTCAGAGACCGGATCCTGCGGCCAGAGGCTGGCGACACCCACACAGCCTTCTTTGACGGAGGACTTTGGGTGGCGGCACTCCTTGGCGATACACTCCGCAAATTGTCGTAAATGGGTTTCTTGGCGTTCAGTTGGGACCTCATCCTGGATAGTTTCCGCGGTGGCTTGTATGCCTCCACTGTGTACATTGTCTGTCCGGTGTTGCCCGCCGAGGAGCGGCCCAAGGTCCAAAGACCGTTTCGTTCCTTTTCGAAGGCACTGTAGATGAGGTGACGCGGCACTGGAATGGGCAGCTCCGCATGGCGTTGCTGCGAATAGAGAGTAGGCATTAGGGATTAGGAATTCTCTCTCTTTTAGAGTCCGGTTCCAAGGACATACCGAATTGTAAAGCTGCCGCTGTCTAATGCTTAGTTTGGGCCAACCGATGGCCGCCCGTTCGAGGCCCTCGTCAATGCTGCAATTGTGCATGATGCACATCTCCCGGACACAATTGTAAAACTGCAGGGGAGTCGCATCGCTTGGCCTGAATCGTCCCAGGGCCTTGATCAGTCGGGCCCGTTGCTCTTTCTTCTCCTTCTCTGACAGAGGCGTCTCCGGTTCGGCACTTGTCACTCCCTCAACCCGTTGCTGGTCTAGTGCCATCGTTTTCGAATGTTTTTGCACACTGAAAATTTAAAGATAAAGATCAAATTTTAAGCAACGGAAATTTTGTATTATGTTTAGTGTCTATTCGGAAGTAGGACTCTGAACTCTGAACAAAAATGGGAGCTCAATGTAAAGACAAATGAAGGGAAGGCATGGGACTACTTCGTGTGGCAGCCACAATGGAGGAAACCAGTGTTGTCAAATGCTAGAACCGGTTTAACGGTTGAAAAGTTGTCTAGCTTTTCACTTAACTTTCGTATAATTTTGTTGGTTCCAATCAATCAAATCGATCAAATTTTGGTATCAATTTTCGTTTTGGTTTCGTTGCACTTCGAGCCGATCGATCCGATGTACAGTAAATATGCAGATCCATTGTTCATTCTAACCGTATAACAGCTGCTTATCCTCCTCTCTCCTCTCCCCACCATTCTTCCTCTCTCTCTCTCTCTCTCTTCGTTAGTTCCACCTCTCATTGTTCCGCTGAGCTAAGTGTGTTTTTTGCACACTTGAGCGGGCTTTGGGTTAACCTTGAACATGTGTGTGTGCGCGACGATTGTGCGATTCTTTTTCTGCGGTTTCTCTCTCCTTCCCTGGCCGATCTGTCTCCCCGTCTCACTCTAACAAGTTCTAACACGTTTTGCGCGTGCGCCACATCGAATGCAGTCGACAGAGGAAGACAATGAGAATGAATGTCACAAGGCAAACAACGTACTGGGGAGCAGGGAAAGAGAATTATGTTTATACGAAACTGAGATTTCCAGATCTAATGGAAAGAAACCAAAGAGATAGAGGGAGGGAGAGAGGGAGCTTTGAAGTTGATCCAAGAACTTTGATGGAAGTTCTGGAACTTCGAACTTTTGAAGGCAACAGCTTGAAGACTCTATTTCTATAAGGTGACTTTCGGTATCTGACCTCCATCTGTATCTGCATCTTCATCGTACATCTCCATAGGTAGATCTCAGCAGGGAAGGGATACGAGATTACAGAAAAAGCCTTTAAGGGGCCACAACTCGACAAAACCTCGACTGTGCTTAAACTATGTCAATTTTTGGGCTTCCCTTTGATTCAAATCAATTTTCCTACAGCACTAAATACTACCATATAATTTCGATAACCCATAGATTCATACGAACCATAGAAACGTATTTTTTCTACAAATAGCTATCGTTTATGAGACATTTATTCAAGGATGCATAATATCTCTATTCTCAATAGTGTTCCTGGTGTTTGGTTCCTTTGATCAATCAAGTCTCGAGGTTCGAGGGTACACCTCGACACCAGCTCTCTTTATGGAGGCCTAAGGGCCTCCTAAGGGTCTCTCCACTTTTGACATTTATTTCCTAGCAATGGGAACTGTGGGCTTGTTTGTGTCCATGGGCTAAATGGCAGCCTGAAAATGGCAGCCAATGGGTTAAACGTGTAGACACAAGGCCTCTCCCTCGCACCCTTTGCACGGGCTCGGGTGCAAACTATTTGCCATCCCGCACACACACACACACACACACACACACACACGCACTGGAGGCGGCGGCCCAAGCAACCCTTACCGCCGCTGCGTGACTGCTAGAACAACCCCTACCTTCATCCACCTTCTTCTACCCTTGTGTTCTCCACCCTCCTCCAACCCCACCGAAGCTGCTGAATGGGGAACCATTCGTTCGACCATTAAATGCGTTTCAGCCAAAGAAAAGAAAGAGGAATCGAAATAAGCAGAAGAGAAAAGCAAAACGAAAGAGAAAGAGCAAGGAGTGAGTGCGAATGCGAGTGCTAGTGTGAGTGTATATTTCTCTAGGTCTGCTGCTGTTGTCCTTAGCTGAAATTGAGCTACCCCTACTGCCTACCTATCCACATCCACATCCACATCCTTTCCTATCCACACACACACACACACAGACACGCAAAAACCATACCACGCCTACTCTCTGACCTACACTGAAACAAAACTAGGATGCTGATCCTATAAATACTTGAGCAGGAGCCTACAGAAAAACTTTCTGCCAGGCAACCAGCAATCCGCTTGGTAAAACTATAAACTTTCACATTTCTGCTTGGCTTAAGAATGACTTTCTCGTGGGTATCCCTTCAATCATTCAGAATCTTTGAAGTTTTAGATATTCTTTGCAGAACATCTCTGCATATTCCAATCACTTAAATTTGAGGCCGTATCGCGTGTTGAAACGTTAGCGAATCGACCGAGGGGCGCTGCTGCATGGCGAAGGGAAAGAGATTGCGACGAATCTATATACAATTCAAATTGAACTGAACATAAAAGAGCTACAGATCAATAGTTATAATAGTTATAAATACTAATTAGGGTATAGGTCCTTTAACTTCTAGAAGTATCTAGATATTCTTCAAGTAGGATGAAGCTCGCAAAAGATCTGCATTTCCATGAGTATTTTCCAGAGGATACATCCCATATCTATTATAGATCCCCCCCGTTTTTGGTTTCAGTGTAATTTTGTAAGCCCTGTTTTCGGGCTTTGCGTGTTGTTTGTTTTCTGGGGATGGAGATTGGGGGCTGGGCTGTACAACAAATATTTGGACTATTGCTAGACATTCAATATGCACACACACACACACACACACACACACACACACACACACACACAGTCACACCCAGGCCTCACACGATGCCTGTGTTACCTGCATTCTGCTTCACCCTACAACCCACCGTATACCCTACTTAAACCCTAAACACGGCGCACACACTTGCCACACATTCTACAATCAATTTGTAGGCGTGTGCATGTGCGTCCCACAGAGCACAGAGCCCAGAGCCCAGAACAGGGCCAAAAGCAGCGGCCATTGGAATGAAGTTATAGTATAGCCCCAGCCCTAGACACAAGTGCATTATATATCGCACAGTATATATGTATGTGTGGCATGTGCATCTCCCTTTTGGCCCGAACGAATCGCTGGAGCGTATAGTGTGTGTGCGAGCGAGCGGGATGGGATAAGTGCAGAGGGTTTAAGGAGGGTTGATATGGGAGGGGGTTCGGTGTGTGTGTCTCGTGTGAAAATATGTTTTCTTTCATTTTTTTTATTATTTCTCTTTTTTTTTACACAATTTGCATTTGCGCAAAAAGTGCAAAAGTTGACACACGCAAAACCCGGCAGGCAGCTTATTAGTGTCAATGTGTGTGAGAGTACACACACACACACACACACACAAACACACGTCAGTGTGTGTGTGTGGACGCCATTTTGCTGGCCAGTTTACCCACTTGTCCCCCCTTTTCTTCCTTTTTATTTATAATTTTATTTGTATTTTCTTTTAGTTTTTCTTTCCTTTTTTTTGTGCACTTAATGAAATTCTTTTTTAACCTAGGAGTAGGTTAACCATCACCACTAAATATAGCTAACCATCTCTCTCTCTCTCTCTCTCTCTCTCTCGTTGCAGGTGAGTCGGAGGTTTTTATTTATTAATGGAATTTTCACTTACCCTTGGGAAATGGAAGGGACAGAAAAACTTGACGTCACCCAATGGAAAAAAAATTTGTAATACTCTGCTAAATGGCATAAAAAGAAAAAATATGTAGAGGAAAAGGTTGAATTCGGATGGGTGTTAAAGGTAAATGTGAAAAAAAGTTGCCTCTATAAATCAATTGAAAATAATTTGTTCGCTTTCGTTTCGTTTGCTTTGTTAATGAGAATTGAATTGATCCATTGATTCCAAGTTAATTGGCATCCTAGCACGGGGAGTGAGATAATTGCATTCGACTGTTGGGGAATTTTTCGAAAGAATTTTAAAGGCAGACTGGAACATTTCAATAATAAATGAGTGTAGGAGGAAGTCGTAGAGAATCGATTGCCAGAAGTAGATCGATGAAAAGCGTAAGAAGAGTACATTTCAAAAGGTGTTCAAAGGGATATACTGGGGCTTGGCATCGTCTGATGAAGAAAGACCAAAGATCTGAGGGATGAACTGGTTGTAGTATCTACTGAGGTTCCCCGATAGGAACTCTAAGCCCCTGAATCGTAGTACTTTCAAGAAAGACTTCCAAATAGTGCTCGGTATCTTTTTCCTCCAGAAGTTGCCCCACAAAACCAATAGAATCAGCAGTTAAAAAGACTGTTATTCCCCCCACCCGAAATATCATCAGAATTTGCTGCCTCATTTGAGGAGGACTCCTCTCGGAGGCCTTCGTTTTGCTCTGTGTGTGTGGGCTGCTGTGTGAAAAAGTTGCGTAAGTCAACAAACAAAAGCCCAAAGAAGTGGAAGAATCTCGGAGGCTGTAGGAGGAAGAATAAGCGAGGACTGGCTGTAATCGAAAGAATTGCAGAACAAAAACAAACAACAACAAATAAACATTAAACAAAGTAGCAGTTAAGCAAAAAAATATGAGATGAATATACCCCAAATACCCTTTCAATTGAGAGATTTACTCAAAACTGTATATACTCGTTCGTGCCACGTGGGAAGGGTACACGGACTGCAATGGGGATTGCCTTTCGATTCGATTCAAACTGAAATTAAGGCCTAATAATATCTTCCAGGTAGAGAGCCCAGATCTAAACACAGAACGTGACAAGAGTTCACAGAAATCAGTTTTTTTTCCCCGTCATCCCTGCTGATCTTCTCTCTCTCTCTCTTTCTCTCTCTCTGTTTTCCTGTGGATGTTGCAAGTGTTGCGCTTTTGGCATTTTCTGGCATGACGGAATGGGGGCCCCAGCTGCAACCCACGAAAGATTGGAGCAGAGCAGAGCAAAGCAGAGCGACAGCGACAGCGAAGCCAGCGCAGCACCTACACTTTTGCCCCGAAAGCTACTTGGCAACCTCCTACTGACTCTTCCAGCTTCCAGATCCACAGCATCTTGAGTCCCATACCCTTTCCCCTATGACTACAAAATAGTTCTACATTTGAAGTTCCTTAAAATTTGATTGGAATGGATTGGGATTGGGATTGGGATTCAATTACATTCGAAGAAACCTAAAAGGTATATCAAACGAATGTTGAGCCACGCGTGATGCGGCAGCACACCTCTGCTTCGTGTCGAATTTATTGATTTTCCCAA